AGAGCAGAAATAAATAAAATCAATGAAAGCAGTAGCTGGTTCTTCTAGCAAAATAGATAAGCCCCTAGCCAGACTTATGAAGAAAAAGAGAGTCTACACACATAAACAGAATCAGAAATGAGAAAGGAAAAATCACTATGCACACCACAGAAATACAAAGAATTATGAGAGAATACTATGAAAAATTATATGCTAACAAATTGCATAACCTAGAAGAAATGGACAACTTTCTAGAAAAATACAACCTCTAAGGCTCACAGAGGAAGAAACAGAAAATGTGAATAGACCAATTATCAGCAACGAAATTGAATTAGTAATCAAAAAACTAAGAACAAAACCTGTGATGGTTTCAATGCTGAATTTTATCAAATATTTAGTGAAGACTTTTAACGTCCATCCTCCTTAAAGTTTTCCAAAAAGTAGAAGAGAATGGAATACTTCCAAACTCATTCTATGAAGACAGCATCACTCTAATACCAAAGCCAGGCAAAGACACCACCGAAAAGAAAATTACAGACCAATATCCCCAATAAACAGAGATGCAAAAATACTCAATAAAATATTAGCAAATCAAATTCAAAATGCATCAAAAAATCATCCATCTTGATCAAGTAGGATTTATTCCAGGGATGCAAGGATGGTAAAACATTCCAAAATCCATCAACATCATCCCCTATATCAATAAAAAGGACAAAAATCACATGATCATCTCCATAGATGCTGAAAAAGCATTTGATAAAATTCAACACCCACTCATGATAAAAACTCTCAAAAAAATGTGTACAGAGGACATAAATGCCATATATGAAAAACCCACAGCCAACATCATACTTAACAGTGAAAAACTGAAAGCTTTTCCTTTACGATCGGGAACAAGACAAGGATGCCCACTCTCCCCACTTTTATTCAACATAGTACTAGAGGTCCTAGCCACGGCAATCAGACAACACAAAGAAATAAAAGGCATCCATTCGTAAGGGAGAAGTTAAACTGTCACTCTTTGCAGTTAACATGATATTGTACATAAAAAACCCTAAAGTATCCACTCCAAAACTACTGGAACTAATATTTGAATTCGGCAAAGTTGCAGGATACAAAATTAATACACAGAAATCTGTTGCTTTCCTATACACTAACAATGAACTAGCAGAAAAAGAAATCAGGAAAACAATTTCATTAACAACTGCATCAAAAAGAATAAAATACCTAGGAATAAACCTAACCAAGGAAGTGAAAGACCTACACCCTGAAAACTACAAGACACTCTTGAGAGAAATTAAAGAAGATACCAATAAATGGAAACACATCCCTGCTCATGGATAGCAATAATTAATATTGTCAAAATTGCGCTCTTGCCTAAAGCAATTTACAGATTCAATGCAATATCTATCAAAATACAAACAGCATTCTTTAACGAACTAAAGAAAATTGTTCTAAAATTCATATGGAACCACAAAAGAGCCCGAATAGCCAAAGCAATCCTGAGAAGGAAGAATAAAGCTGTGGTGATTATGCTCCCCAACTTCAAGCTCTACTACAAAGCCACACTAATCAAGACAATTTGGTAGTGGCTCAAGAAGAGACCCATAGACTAGAACTAATATCTGAATTAGATATAAACCCAACCATATATGGTCAATTAATATATGATAAAGAGCCATGGATATACAATGGGGACAGGACAGACTCTTCAACAACTGGTGTTGGCAAAACCGGACAGCTACATGCAAGAGAATGAAACTGGATTACTGTCTAACCCAATATACAAAAGTAAACACAAAATGGATCAAAGACCTGAATGTAAGTCATGAAACCATAAAACTCTCAGAAGAAAACATAGGCAAAAATCTCTTGAATATAAACATGAGCAACTTTTTCCTGACCACATCTCTTCAGGCAAGGGAAACAAAAGCAAAAATGAACACATGGGACTACATCAAGCTAAAATGCTTCTGTGTAGCAATGGACACCATCAACAGAACAAAAAGGAATCCTACAGTATGGGAGAATGTATTTGTAAATGACATATCTGACAAGGGGTTAACATCCAAAATATATAGAGAACTCACACACTTTAACACCCAAAAGGCTAATAACCATATAAAAAATGGGCACAGGATATGAGCCAACACTTCTCCAAAGAAGAAATTCAAATGGCCGACAGGCACATGAAAAGATGCTCCACATCTGGGAAATTCTTATTAAAACCAGAATGAGATATCACCTCACACCTGTTAGGATGGCCAACATCGAAAAGACTAGGAACAACAAGTGCTGGCGAGGATGTGAAGAAAGGGGAACCCTCCTACACTGCTGGAGGGGATATAAGCTTGTTCAACCATTGTGGAAAGCAGTATGGAGGTTCCTCAAAAAACCAAACATCGAAATACCATTTGACCCTGGAATTCCACTTCTAGCAATTTACTCAAAGAAAACAACCTCTCAGGTTCAAAAAGATGTATGTACCTCTATGTTTATTCCAGCACTATTTACAATAACCAAGATATGGAAGCAACCTAAATGTCCATCTATAGATGAATGGATAAAGAAGAGGTGGTACATATACACAATAGTATACTACTCAGCCATAAGAAAGAAACAAATCCTACCATTTGCAACAACATGGAGCTAGAGGGTATTATGCTCAATGAAGTCAGTCAGACAAAGACAAATACCAGATGATTTCCCTCATTTGTGGAGTATAACAATGAAGCAAAACTGAAGGAACAAAATAGCAGCAGACTCACAGTCTCCAGGAAGGGACTAGTGGTTACCAAAGGGGAGGGATCGGGAGGGATGGAGATACGGATTGTGGGGTATCATGATTAATGTACATGATGTTTGTGGGGTCACGGGGAAGACAATGTAGCACAGAGAAGACAAGTAAGGACTTGCGGAGGGACTCGATAATAAGGATAAATGTTGTAAGCACATTGTTTTTCTTGTGAAACCTTCATAAGAGTATATAGTAATGATACATTAACAAAAAAAAATACTTACAAAAAAAAAGTAGGTAGTAGAGATAATGTGGTAGATACAGTATCTTAACTTCAAGAGTGCCCAGAAATATATTTCTGCATCATGTAAGTTACAAAATAATCTCAATAGTAAAACTTTAAAAATGAAAAAAAGAATGTCTATATGTACGTTTTTGTATAAAGAAAAGGAAAACACCAGAAAGGATATACAAGTGTTAAAAGAGTGATTACAACAGGACAGTGGCAGAGATTGTCATTATTAAACACCTCTATATTAGTGAATAATTATATTTTGTATATATTACTTTTGTTATCTAAATGACAAATTTTCTAAAATTGTATTACCAGCTAGAGTTTTCCTAATGCTAATCATTTACCTATACCAAAAAACACATTAGCAACTACTAATGTTTACATAATATTACACAATATATCCTCGATTAACAGATGGAGGAAAATATACAGAGATATCTATCTTACACATGCATGCAGATTTTACACATACATGTATGTAGACGGAGGGATGGGAACTGTATGTAGTGTGTACATGTAGGGCAGGAGAAGAAGGAGGGCTCGTTGTTCACATCCCATAGCAGGGAATTTCATAGGAAACGTAAAATAAGAATCAGAGAAATACAAGCAGTCTACTTAAAGGTATCGAATTAACTGAAAAAAGATTAAATAATTGGAAACTGTAACAATGTCAGGGGACGGTGGGCTGTTTTGTGTAGTATGTATAATTAGTTGGCTCTTTAAAATATATGCAGGTAATATTTAGTGAAAGTGAGATTTCCAATTCAACATATAAATGTCCAATTTGACAAAAAAATCACAATGGCACTGTAAACAATAGCAACTTTTTGACAAGAAATAGATGAAAATTTTAGAAGATATCTATTCAGTGCTTTTTAAGAAAAGAAAATGTAGACAACCAGGAATAAGGTGAATTTTTAGACATAAAAGTTGTTTTGTTTATGAGTAGTTTTCAACCTCTCTTTTGGGACCTTAAACAGGGTGATCAACTCTTCCTAGGACCAGTTTCCTGAAATGTCCACACTTCAGTTCTTAAAGTCCTGTATCCTAGGAAACCCCTTAGTCCCAGGCATGCAGGATGGTTGGTCACTCTAATCCTAACAAGTTCAAAGTTGTTTCTTGATACAAAGTTACCATGTACCATATACTGAAAGAAATATTGAAAATAACAGCTTTTTGAAGATCAAGTTGGATGGTGGCAGAATATAGGCAATTAAGGGGAAATAGATTTGTAATGTCAAGAAATTACAATGCAGGTTATTGTGTTGAATTATACCTCATAAAGCTGTTATGAAAAGAGAGGAGGTGTGAAAAACACTCCAAGATTTTTGGTTAATCTAAATCAAACAGGCATAGTGTTTTCATCTTTCAAATATGTAAAAAAAATCAAGTATTATTGCAATCAAAACATTGTAAGGATCTGTTACCACAGAGAAAAAAGATTTGGTCATGGAATAATGCATCTGCTTGATGGTCTCATATGTCTTGAAATGACTAGGATATCAAAAATTAATTATGGGGAAAACTGAAGTAAATAAGAAACATAATAAGATAATAAATGAAAAAAATCATTTTAGAAACAACCAAATGAAGAAAATAATTTAGTATCGAATGATAATGAAATTTTTAAAAAAATGTAATATTGACTAATAATATAATCAAAGAAGAGAAAATATACTAGAAGCAGTAGCCCAGTTCCTACTTTTGCTCATCAATACACTTTATTCCCTTCATAAAAACAAAATACAACTTCCAGCTAACAAATCAAAAGTGCACTATTAGAGTAAATCAGATTAAATGCTTTTTGTTGAATTAGCTCGATTAAAATAAAATTGGTCTTAGACCCATGTGTCAAATAAATCACCAGAACATCAGGTGGACATTGGTAAGCTTGGAAAAGATAAATTTTACAGGAAACTAAATTTAATTCAAGAAAATAAAATTTTTAATTAAAAATGCAATGCAATGAAATGAGAATGTTCATTGTACCTTAAAGAACCCTGCTTCAGGGCCACACCTGTCATACGCATTCCTGGATTTACCTATCGCCATGATAATACCTTGCATGTTCGGTGTCATCATCATCTGCCACGAGGGATTTAAATAAAGAGTTTTTGAATGGTAAACATAAAAAAAAATAATTTTAAACAAAATAATTTATTTACATGCAAGTTAAAAGTCCTTTGTTTTTTAATATTTATACTTTGGATATTGCGTTTATTTATAGCCAATGTGATCCAGTATGCATGTATCTTTCAAAATCATCCATACAGGAACACAACTAGCTAATATGGTGCCTTTGTGCAAATTGCAAAAAGGCATCCTCTCTGACCTGAAGAATGGTAAAAAGGAGCTCCCTTCTTGACAAATAGAAAAACGTGCTGTTTTCCTGAGAGAACTATTTGGAAAAAACAACACTCATTTTATTTAAAAAGGCACCTCTTATTTAAGGCTTGGGGAGCTTAGCCTGGGATCAATTTCAACTCCATTCATGCCTGTTGGCTTAACACCCCTGCATAACTATACATCTAAATACCCATAAGCAGCAGCCCTGTATTCACATGACGTTCCAAGGCACATGCACTGTTAAACTATCACGCTATGAATTAAACGAAACACAGTTCTGCGAATAGCGTAAGCACTTGCACAAAAGACAGTATTAAGTGATTAATCACAATTCTACTTTTTTAAATGCCAGAAGGCTCATCCTAAAATAACCACTCAGGTGCTTGACCAGTAAGTCAACATTTCTACTAAAAACATGTCAGTTTCTAAAATTTTCAAGCACCAACATGGTAATGAAATAGGTAACTGGAACAATACACTGATATTAAATATCAAATGCTTACTCATTTGTTTTTGTAATAGCTTATTATTCTTAACCATTTACATTTTAAAATATCTGCAAAATGAAATAACTCAAGGCACTATGAAGCTATTGTATTAGAGAAATCAAGAGACTGAAGCCATTACCTCTGATTCACTGATACTATTACTCTTATTTGGATTATACACTGACAGCTGCAATATACCTAACATTACCTACTTCAGAAAATCCTTCTGATCAGTTCCTATCTCACAAACCTGCTTCTTCTTCTTTTTATGGCCCATACTTTCTTACATTGGCACAGTAATATTAATGTCTTTATGACACCTCTGATTTTGGTGATTAACTCTTATATAACAGCTTAATTAAAGCCTTGGAATAAGTCTGAAAAATGTTACTTGGAAAAAACTTTAATATGTATTGAACTATCATCGATGCTGGTAAAAACTAAAAAAAAAATTATTGAGTCCAAGAGCTTTTCTATTATAATTATTTAGAATCAGCTTTACTGGCTCTCCCTCAAATAAGAGGGCCCTCCCTCTTCTGAAAAGAATAAATGTAAGAGTCTTAAGAAAAAAAAGTGAAAAAGGGGGGTAAAAATCTGATGGGACCAGGACAACAGTGTACTTTCATCTGAATCCCCAAGAACCACATCTTGAGAAGCAAAAAATGCCTCTATACTGTTAGAAAACTAAGCAGATGAGACAAAACAGTGAAGAGATAAGATGGAGTGTCACAGTGTATAAAACACCAGTAGGCATTCAGTAATGTTGATGAATCATTCCATTCATAGTCACATGGAGGCTGCAGAAACAAAAATATCAATTATCTATTTGCAATCAGGCTACAAGATCTTCTAGCAGGAAATGATGGGCAGGTATTAAAATAAATAATTCAAGTAAAATAGGAAAGGAAAATAAAAGTTATTTTTTAAATGCTCAAAATTTTCACTATTTAAACATGCCTTATTATAATCTGCCAACCTGAGACAAAACGGATCCTATGTCTGCAGAAGAGGATTAACTCTAGGAACATACAATTATTTTTTTGACAAGTTTCATAAGGTTTCTACTTAAATTTTCACTTGAAATTCAAAGTTCTGTTAGCAACTGGTGAGGTAATTTTAGATCATGAGTGGCAAAGCTGTACCTTGTGCAGCAACTGACGTTAAGTGTGAGAGTGCACGCATGCCCAAAGTACTTATATTAAAGAGCAGAAAATAAGTAGGAATAGTGCAGAAGGCTGTAATAAAGGTACCTCATCATCATAACCCCCCTCCTTTGACTCAATCATAAATTTCCCTACATGAGGAATCGCCACCTCTACAACTTGCTGGTTAGAAGGTGGTTGGCTTGTGGTATTTTCAGGATTCTGTAGAAGAAAATTATTAGTATGAACATTAGAAGAGAAAAATGGAAGCACGAAGTTTAAGTGCATAGATTCTTAAATCTTTTATAAATACCTACATTTGCTTAGTATGAAATGAAACTACCTAAAACTGAACATTAGAAGCAAATGAAATAATTAAGAAATAGGTACTACAGCTTTCTCTGTACATCTCAACCACTAAATTTTCATTTTTCCTCTACATAGCATTTTGGACTCAAATCCGTAAAACTAACAAATAATGAAGTTGTATTATCAAGTGCTTTTTTAATAGCTGAAGGTCTTATTTTTTTTTACTTCCAGTAACTCCATAAAGCCTTTGTTAACATCGTCATCAAAATAAGATATTACCTCCTCTGAATCCAAGAGAGTTTGTAGGTTTTCTTTCTTAAGGTTTTGCTTTTATATCCTCTGTACAGTAATCAATTTTTTATCTACTTAATATCCATACTCTATTGTGTTTAACTCACTCTGTACAGCCTATTAGACTCTGGTATAATATATTTACATCATAAGTCTCTGATGAATTCTTGTTTTTGGAAAAGCTGCTAGAAAGTGACATCCATTTTTAGCAATTCAGTCTAATTTATTTTTTCTTTTCTTTGTTAACAAATGTTTTAAAACTCACTTAATCCACAGTAATAAATTTAATAATATATCTATTATAATATAATAATAAAAAAGAAGCCCATGTGAAATCCAGAAAAGTCCAAAGACACTAATATGGTTCATTCAAAATGCTGTTCAGATTTCCAAAGATCTTATTTGACTCAACAGATTTATTACTAGTATATTCAATATTTACCATAAATAAATTTCAAAATTACTTAAGATGCTTGAAAGCAGTTTGCTTAAGTAATTTCAATTTGTACCATGAAAGTTTTCCTAAGAAAAACAAACTTTAGTTTTGACATAAACAGACAATTTTAATAGAACAAATTACAGGGACTTTATTTCGATTTGAAATACAAGTAAATTTTAGTGATGAGAATATTTTCTGACTTTCCAGAAGTACATTAATTAAACAATGAAACTAGAGGCCAAGACTTCCATTGTCCCGTTTGAAAGAAATGTTATTTTTAATCATAACATATTTAGAAAAGGTTTCCTTACTTTGAGTCCTCAACTTTTCAAGAGGAAATAACCAACCTACATGGTGGTTGTCATCATAAGAGATAACATTCAGCTAACCCAACACACCTGGACAACATAATAATTGTTTTATAAATAATACATATTGACAATATTATTATACTACTATGCTACTTTAAATTGTTTATGTTTGTATGGTTCTAACTCAATGTTGCTAACATACATATCCTATAGAGATATGCTTGGCCCATGACATTTAATTACAGATTTTTAGTCCCTGCAGCATACGACAGAATAATAATTAATTGTGCTAGCTCTCCATTCACAAAAGTGAAACATAAGCAAGTAACTTAAGAAATATGTCTGCACCTGTGGTGAAAAATTTCTCATAATCAAATCAATCCAAGACAATACTATTTTAAAAAGAGAAAATATAAATTTACGGCAAATAGCAACCAAGAAATGTATTACTTAGAATGCTAATCTTTACAAACGACATATACTCTTTGGAAAAAAAAACTATACTTAGGGAAAATATATGTTTTATAAACCTTTTCAATTATCATAGCAGAGTTTCAACAGCATAATACTGACAAATTATATGGGTGAACACTGAAAAAGGGAAGAAACTTTGGTAAATATAATAATTTCGTTCTATCATTCATCAAGTTTAGATATCCTAAGGAATCATAAAAGAATTTCATATAAAGAATGCAAGAGTTCATTAGAGTACAGGTGTATTTATCTTCTCACCTACTGTCAGGGCCTGTATGAACACCTTAACAAAGCCTAAACTTGAAAGGAGTTTAAAATAAGTTCCTCAGTTAATAAGTTGCAAAAATAATTAAAATACAAAGATTTTTATTAATTGCTTGAAATACTTTGAATACAAGATTTTTTAAAAATGGTCTCATAAAAAGGGTTAGTAGAAAGCAATGTAACTGCAATGCACTGGCCCCCATAATATGATCATAAACTTTAACCCAGAAATTCGACTATGGGGAATCTATTTTAAGAAATAACCTAAAATATAGAAAAAGTTTAATTTAAGTGCTGATTTCTGCAAATTTAAATTAAATACGATTAGCAAAACTAAAAAAAAATGATTCTACATTAAGCTTACTTAATGCTTTTGGCTTTCTGATACCAGCTAAAAGGCTGATACTTATTAACCATAATGTAAGCACTAACAAATAAAAAACCAATTAGCAAAGGTCCTGGCAAATTAATTTTTTATATCAGGCAAAAATATTTCTCCCTTGTCTCTGTTTCTCTGCTCTTTTTCCCTTCCTGGATTTTCTTGCCTCTTCTTCCATCCCTCAAGAAGTACACATCCCAGATTCATTAGAAGAAGCATTTCCCAGCAAGTGCTCTAGAGTTAGCAGGTGTTCACCTCAAGCTCATGTAGAGTCCCCAGGATATTTGCAAAATTTGGGAAATAAGCAAATCAATCTATCTATATTAATACTTTTTTATGGTAATATGTTAGAATTTTTCAAACAGGTAATTATATTAAAGTAATTTTGATTGTTACTTCATCAAGGCCAAATTAACAGAATACCCTGTTAATTGACAGTTTGGCTAATAAAGGTCTTATCATATTAAAGACCCCATTGCAATTAGCAGGTTATCATTGAGATTAGCTCACTATGTAGAAAACTATATGTTGAAAAATTGTATGTCCTGCTCTGTTTAGTTCTCTAGGAGGGGAATCTTCAAATACTAATATTAGCTATCATGAAACCTGTATTAGAGTTGCTCATGATCACTAATAATATAAAAAGTAACTAGAGCAACACAATGGTTTTATAGTACCAAACCCATGAAAAAGCATATCTCAGAATGCCATAGTCACTGAAAACATAATACAATACCAATGTGCTCAATTCACTGCTATAAAAAGACATCCTAGAGAACTACAACACAGGAGAATTATGACAGCAATGTATAGGACACTCCACTGGAATATGCATAAATCATTTTGTAAGATCACACTTATCCTGCTAGTTACACTCTACCCTAGAGTATTTAGCATTTTATTCTTAAATACATTTCATGGCACAATTAAAATTATACCTTATATTCCCAACGATTATAATGTAATATGACAACATGGAAGGAGGCATGGGAGAAAGAAAAAAAATGCTAAATTTTATACTTTTCAAGTTTCAAATCAAATGACCAATTTAGTCTATAATTATAATTTTTCATAATTCTTTAACAGGAAAATTAAAACATTTTAAAAAGGAAGCATTTTTAGATGATCAAGTGACACCCCGGGTCACTGGTCATGTTCACGGCAGTCCCTTGGCCCTGGCCTCTTCTCACTCCCAGATAGGTTGCTCTCCATCACACTGCTAGGAAACACCGTGAACATAGCTGTGGTCAGAGAGCTAAAAGAAAAGTTCTTACCGACTGCAAAACTGTTTCAGGACTTTTATCTTCATGCTCATGTGCTACCTTGGTAATTATTCGAATAGTTTCTTCTTTCAAGTGCTTGGAGAAATCACTTCTTGATGGCTGCTCTAGATATTCTGGTTCTCCTGCTTGTGCTTCATAAGAAAAGAATCAATTGTGTATCTAATATAAATCAGAGTCTATGCTAATGAATTTGTTATTTGGTTCTAATTTAAAGTTATATAATAATTAATTTTACTATTCCATTTAAAGAAATATATTCTTCAATATACACCACTTCCCCCAGAATTAACAATCCAACAAAAATCAGATTTAAGAGTAGTCAAATAATTACTGAAAAAGGTACTCATTACAGTTTATGGTAAGGGATCCACTGTTAATTCTTCTGCCATACTTACTAAAATCTCATTTTGGAAAAACATAAGCATTCTACACAAAAAAAAATTAGTTTGTATAACAATCCTGGTATGAGTTTCCACAGAGAGCACAATAGTTATTCTTCTGGCCACATAAGCCTTTTCACACCTACTTGACAAAACCCTACTCTGAATGAACCCAACCTTCTATTTCTCCTGAACCTGGCACTAGTAGCTGAGTGTTACCTGAGGAAAAACGATTACAACTTGGCAAATTGGTACCAATATAAATTCAAGGCTTCAAATACCATCCATGTGAGGAACTCCCAAAGTTGTACCTATTATGTACATTTACAGCTCCAAACCCAGAGATGCAACAATTTATTCTGCGTGTCCACTGAATGATTCACAGGTGACCCCAAAGGCTTTATCTAAGTGGGCCTCTGCCAATCTCTCCAACATAACTTTGTGTCCTTTGTCCAAAAAAGGACAAACAGTAGTCTTCTTTTCAGCTTAGATAATTCATACTTTGAAGAGGAGGTTTAACTTCCAGCCTACAGATATTTTATTTTTTCCCCTCTGCCTGTAATTTTGCCCATTCTCATTCCCTCATCTAATAACTTTTATATATCCTTTTGTTTAAATATCACTTCCTTATGGAAGTATTCCTGATTACACCACCTCTGGAGCAAGGTTTCTCAGCCTCTGTAGGATTGAAATTTTGGTTCAGATGACTCACTGCTGTGGAATGTTGTCCTGTGAATCCTGGCATCCACCCACCAGATGCCAGTAGTACTGTCCCCAAAAGGTATGACAACTAGAAATGTCTCCAGTATTGTCAAATGGCCTCTGGGGAACAAAATCATTCCCAGAGAACCAATGTTCTTAAGTAACTTACACTTTTTTAAATAGCCCGTACTGCAATTATCACCTAATTATTACCCTCAGTATTTTTTTTCAAGCTCATATGCCCTGTTAGAAAGTAAGAATCTCAAGATCAAGAATACTGTCTCACTTTTTATTGCTATTTCTTCAACACATAGTATACAGTGAACACACAATAGCTTAGTGGAACAAATGAATTAATAAATAAATGAATGGATATGAAGAATAAAAAGAAAGTATGCTAAAATGTTTTACAATTGGTTAAGTGAGTCCTTGCTAAACTAACTGGTAAGATACAAAGGGGCTACTATCATCCTTTCCAATATGTGATTGCAAAGATTTTTTTCAAAGTGAAATATTATTCAAAATAATATTATAATTTCAAACACACATGGTTGTCTATTTAACCAAAGTATTATAATTAAGCACTTAACCATTAGGCTGGGCACTGGGGCTCTGAGTGTGTGCAAAGTAGCCAGTCTCTGCCCCAATGAAGCTTATAGTCAACTATGGAGAAAGTCATTAACCAAAAAAAAATCACACATATGAATTGTGACATTATAATTCATATTATTATATTATTAGATATTCTATATATCATTTTTCTATTACTATATAATAATATTGTTAAATTATCAATTTGATAAAATGGAGAAGGGATAACTTAGGTTATGGGATATGAGATAAACTGACATTTTAGCTGAAGGATGATGGGTTGGGTTTGCCAGATAGAAGAATGCCCCTGCAGGATCCAAAAGGCCAGGCTGGACTATAGTACAGGAAGTAAGAGATGGCAATGATCCAATATCAGTAAGAGCCTTTGCATCATGTATATTTTGAGGGCAAAAGGAAGAGAATAAACATTTTAAATACAGAGACAATGTGGCAAGTTTTAAAAATTATTCTGGCTGTATTATAAAGAATGGATTAGAGAGGAAAGTAAAACCAGAAGTTACCGAAGATACTAAAGCAACATGAGCAAGTTTTGTATAACAAATAGTAACAAGGTAGAAAGAATTGGTAAGACTGAAGATATATTTTGGACATAAAAGTCTGGGGACTGATGTAAAGATAACTAAGTTCGGCATGATTAACTAGGATAATGGAAGGGCAATAGACTGTGAAAAGGAAAAACTAGAGGAAGGAATGCTTACAATGTGTTTGACAAGAGAGATGCTTACAGAAATTACATATCCTCATTTCTACATTTCCTGACTTTGGACTATAATGTTTTTTCAGTGTCCCTGTATGAGGAACATACATTCTTAGACAAAAACATGAATGGTTGATATAGTAGGACACAAACTTAATGCATGAGGGCCAAGAAATCCATCTGGTCTAACCACTGGTCTTACCCATCGAAAACTGGACAGTCTGTGTAAAATAAGTCCTTAGGAGTAAAAGTAATTGTGTCAACATGGTCAAATATGCCTTAGGTCACGTCACCAGGGTTTCCTTCCACATAGAGATTTGAGTCCGAAAACCTTAAGTAATGCTGAATGAGTCTGACTGTCATGACAACTATTTTCTCTAGAGTTTTCCCTATACATTTATCTTTCAGGGAACTGACTTGAACAGTGCTGTAGTTCTAGTAGGTGAACCTACAAGGTTTTAAGATCTGAGGGTTTGGAAACAAAAACCCAAACTTCATTCTCAGCATGTTTACTGAGACTGTGCCATTTTCAGTACTGTGCTAGGTGTTAACAATGTAAAAAAAGAAACAGACGTAAAACTCACTTTTAGAAACTCTCAATAAAATCAGATAAATAATACTCTATTACAATACAAAGTACTGAATGCAATAACAGAGTTATGCACATGATTATATAGAAGCACTGTGGACCCAATACACACACTTGGGATGATGGTATATGTTAATAAAGACTTTATAGAATAAATGCCAACTGAGCTGAATCTTGAAGGATTTGTAGATATTATCTTGGACATGAAAAAGAAGATTCCAGGCAGAAGAAATAGCATATGTAAAGCCACTGTAAGGACAGGTAAAAGATTAATAAAATGCTTGCTATTAATTAGCCTTTACACTGGTAAGCAAATCAAAATATAAGTACAATATAAATCTGATAGTGGGAAGATTGGGATTAAGAAGAAAAAGTTAATGGTTGCTACAAGGGTAATATTAGTGGAATTCATAAAGACTTTGGACTATGAGGAAGGTCTTAAAGAATGGGGAAAATTTCAAGAATATAGAGGACACTTTTTAAATGAAAGATATTTCAGCAGTATCATAGTAATAGGAAAGTTTCCTACAAACAAGGGTAATGGGGAATAATCTGGTTTAGATAAAACATAAGATTCTCATAGGGAAGTAGACTTGGAAGAAATGCAAGGAATAGAGAGTCCTCAGAAAAAAAGAAGTTTGACTTTATCTTTCATATTAGAAAGTACATTTACTAGAACAAATAGCCAAAATAAGTAAAATAGAAAGCTCTTTCTGCTACCCAGAGATAAGTACTCTTGTTTTTAGTATTATATATTTCCAGACTTTACCTACTCACATTTTTCAAAAAAGAATCATTCTGAATATACTGTTTTTAACTTAATATATTTTTCATGTCAATACAATTTTTATTTGTTATACTATGTTCTTCTGTATGGAGGGCTCATACAATACCCTATAGTATACTGAGGCTATTTCCATTTCTTTGTTAAAAACAATAGTAGGACAAAAAGTTTGGCTTTTTATATGTCTAAATATACAGTGCTTTTTGTTCATCCTGTAACTCCTTGGAGGTTTCATCACTGCTGGCCTGTGTAAACAGTAGGAACCTAATAGATGCCATGCTGTTTCTTTATCTGTGTTTTAACTGGCCACTTCTGTACTAACTGGTACCTCAGTTTAATATACTGTGTTAAGGCTTCAACCTGAAATACAGCTAGATTACTTGTGCAACATTTGTCATTCTTAATTTCTAGAAGTCTTCCTTAAAATACATTAACTCAGTGATGAGGAATTATCTTTTAAGAAAATCAGATGATATTCTATTTTCAATTTTACTAGAACACATTCTTTATTTTTGTATAGTATTCACTGTGAATGTTATTGATTTCCTCAGCTAATAATTTTAGAATATTTTAAAATATTTATATTTTTATACATTAATCTCTGTTTTGCAGGTCTATCCATATTTTTAGTTGGAATATACATATATTTCATTTGGCTAATTTTGTTTTTTAATTTTAAGAATTCTGAAAAAAATTAAATTGGTACTTTCTATTAATAGTGCTATTTCAGTATTACACAAAATATATATGGACATATAACATTAGTGTTATTTTGCTCAAATGTGAAATTACTATAGAGTTCATTCTCTTGATAGTTCTAGTGAATTGGTTTGGGGTACTTGCTGGTTTCACAGCTTTCCCCAGCTTCCTGAAAAAAAGGATCAAATCCAATCGAAATGGGCTGGGTAAGTAGAGGGAGAGTTAGCAGAATCACCTCATTTACCTTGAAAAAGTTATATACATATACAGTGGTGTCTGGCAAAAGGGTAAATTAATCATTACCTGTGGTTATCTCTGAGTGATAGACTTTCAGATGATTTTTACTGGCTTCTTCATACTTGAAGATAACTAAATTTTATTTTCAATACATGTATCTTATTTTTATAATATTAATAATAAATATGATAATGATAATAAGATATAATTTAAGAGAAATGGACTAACCTGTTGTTATGGAAGACTCTGACTCTCTCAGTTTCTGAGATGCTATAAGTTTTTCCTGCAAAGCTTTCTGGGCAAGTTGTGCATCCCATTCTTCTAGTTCTTTTTCAAATCGCTGGTTGTCTTCTTCAACAAAATCTCTTAAATCCGGTGGTAATGTTTCTATTCCAACAAGGGCCTGCCCAGTTTCTTTACTAAACTCCTCTGCAAATCATATTTCAAAAACTAATATAAAATTAAGGTTTAAAGGAAAAATGCAAAGCTCAAAACAGAATGCATTTCACAAGGGATTTAAAGTGTGAATCATTACCATTTAACAAATCAATATTACCTAATAGTTACAAAAAAACTCAAATGCTCAGAAAAATAATAATGTAAGTATTTGATAATCCATTATAGGAAACGTTCTCAGCTTTTATTTTTAATATGAAGAGTAAAACAATGGAACAATACATAAAGTTAACAACAGTGATACTCAAACACTGATACAGTACTACATTTTCTATTATAAGAAAATACTAGATGCTTGATTATTCACGAAGTAAAACTTACCACAAAAAGAGAATAACTCAGAAACTTATTAAGCTTAAAATAGAACTAAAATTCTTTTTCACTGAAGCAGTTAAGTATAGCAATATATTTATATGCAGTTTGAAAACTACTAAAGCAAAATTTTTTACAACATTACGTAAGTCTTATTTAGAAGGGTTACTCCACCTCTGTTACACACACACAAAATCAATTTCAGCTTCCAGTCATAAGCGAATTGCCTAGCTAGTTTTGCTGAATGGTTAAATACAAAAGGAAAACTGATTTTATTAGTCTCAACAAACCTTTAAGTGTTTTCCATATGCAAAGCCTATATCAGAATATGAGAAACAAGACGATTAAGACAGTAGGGCATAGTTTCTGGCTTTAAGCAGATTAGGGTAAGTGGGAAAGACAAGTCAACATACAATCCCAACACAGACCAAGTGCCTGACAGAGGTATATGCTATTAGAACACAGAAGGGATACATTCTGGCAAGTCAGGAAAAACTTGGCATGGCAGATGACACCTGAATTGAATATTGCCAGATAAGCAGGAATTAGACAAAAGAATAAAGAAATAAGAACATTACTAGCAAAAAATAAAAAAATAAAAACATGTAGATTTAGATGTGAGCGGAATAAGAAGTTCAACTATCAGTAATGTATATAAATTTTGAAATGGATAATAGTTATTGATAAATGAACCTGGAGAGACAATAAAGAGGCCAGAAAATAGAGGCCTTATATGTTAGATTAAGGAGTATGAATATAATTTTGTGATATAGTCATTAAAAGAATTTTAGCATGGAGAAACAGGTCAGATTTATATTTTATAATAGTTATGGAATAATTGTGGTTGGATACAAAATACACTCCAATTCTCAGCCCTGATCACATTACTTTTCAATTCCAGTTTTTTCACTTAAATGAATCTTAATAGCATTTTCTATTCAAATTCATCACCTTAATCACACCAGAGACCAGAGACATATAAAATGGCTACTTATTTAAAAATATATACCTCCTTATATATTTCATATTCTTACCTTTTATTAAGAATTGTGCCTTATCATTTATGTACATTAAACAGTAGGCACTGGCATTTCTATAACCACCAAAAGAGTCCCTCACTAGCTCTTCCCATGATGATTTTGTAACAGCAATATCATTGTACTTCATCCACCTGTTTTCATGATGATCAATAATGTATGCCCAGTAGTGCCCGGCATTAGCTTGGCCTTCGTGGACTAAAACAGCATGTAAGCGATAAGGAACCTAAATATGAAAAGAGAAGAGTTAAACTGCAGCTAAGTAGTCTTATTATACCACTTTCCATGAAACCCACAAACTTATCTGATTGGAGGATACTGTGGGAGCATACTTTTTAAATTTTATACAAGAAAAAAATCAGCTGAGATAAAATTTTTAAAAAAATGAAAATATGAAATAAAAACTGGGGGAAGGTAAATAAGCTAAGGACATGTAAAGAAGACAGGTATATAAAAAAGATGATTTTCAAAATTTTGAAAATGTATTTCTACTGCATATATTTCTTGATCTATTTCTTTCAAATAAAGAACTTACGGACATTTTTAAATGTAGTATATGATTTGTCTAAACCTTCACAATTATAAATTGATGGCTGGGTTTAGCAAAATGGCTCCTTTAATGTATCACAGAAGTTAAAATGTTAATTGAGCCATATACTTTCTTCCATATACATTATTTCTTTGAACAACCATATAACTTCTCTGGTAGGATTTAAAAAGAAATATTAAGGCCTTATGGAAAATGTTGATAAATTTTACTTAAAATAATAAGAGCAAGCAAAAATACAATATGAGAGTATCAACTGCATCGGGTAAATATTAATATGGAATCTTTAAATTCAGCAATCTTATAACAAAACATGTAAGGAGAATTCGGATAACAATTTGGTTAATAATGTAAACAAAAACTAGTAAATAACTTTTGATAATGCTTACTAGCTCAAAATTTAACATACTTGGATCATAGATTTGTCAGAGTACATTAGTTCAATGGTTCGATGGATTCTGGATATGCTTTCTTGCAAATCTAAGGAGAGAAAATGACATTTAATGATTAACATCAAATATTTACTGAGACTTGTTAAGATAGGGACTAAAGGTTTTCCTGCCATTATGTTAGAGGAATAAGGAAGGACTCCTAAAACTCTTCTTAAAAACACTACTATTTGGAGTCTGTATAAAATGAAATAGAATTCTCCTTAATAAAAGATAGCAGAAATGCAAAATTAAAAATCAAAACAAATACAGTTCACTTAGAAAAATGTGCAGAGCCAATTAAACTGAACTTTGTTCAAGTCTATAAAGGTTTTAATTAAAGCTAATTGGATTAAAGCTAAATCCCCTTACATATTTATATAAAACAGGAAAAAAAACTTTAGAATGAAATAAAATAACTTTATGACACATCTTATATATTTACATAATTGAATTAACAATCCAGTAGAATCATGCATGGAAATGAATAATATTCTCATTACTCATTATTTTTACTTTTAGTAGAAATCTACCTATGAAATTATTCAGAGACAGCATGTTCACAGCTATATTGTCCCTAATAATTAAAAAAACTAGAGACAACTTAAACATCCATCAATACGGAAATGATTAAATGAAAGCATAACCACTCCATACTATGACGCAGTTGAAAATAATCAGGAAGAAACCATGAAATACTACAAAAAACATTAATAACTTTACAGTGGGGGAAATGCCTTTCTAAGCCTGATAGAAAATCCAGTTATCATAAAGGAAAAGATAAGATGCCCTCCCCAAACTTAAGAAAAGCTACATTATAAAAACAAAACAAAAAACACATAAAAAAAGTCAAATGGCAAAGACAAAATGGGAAAATACTACAGGCAACAAGTTAATATCCATAATGTTAAAGTTTCTATTAAGCAATAAGAGAACAATAAATTGCTCAACATAACGTATAGGCAAATGTCACAAAACAAGAAATTTGTAGAAAAACAGGATTTCACTCATAATTAAGGAAATACAAATTAAGACATTAAAATACCATTTTTCCAGCTATCAACACAATTAGAAAGTGCTGACTGAGGGCTAGGAAAGATTTTGGGGGATAGGCTCTTTTCATAGATGGTTAATAGGAATGTACACTGCTTCAATGTCTTGGGGGAGAATTTTTAAAAAGTTAAAATTTTTAACATATACACTTTGTACCAGAAATGGTACTTTTAAGAAGTACCGTTCACAAAAATATGTCAAGACGTATATAGGAGGCCAACACTGAGTGAGTATCAATATAGAAATAAATAAATCATATCATACTCATGTGTTGGAATACCATAAAATTTTTTTTTAAATAATGCTAACAGCTAATATCAACAGGGAGGAAAGAGAGGAAACAAATATTCTAAGGAAAACCTTCTTACCTGACCCATAGTGTTATTATGATCCAAAGTATTAAGTATCAAGCTCCAAAATCTTGTTTCATAAATGTCTCTTAAGTTCCTCACACTTAAAAGGGCCCAAAGTGGACTCATCATATTCCTACTTCCTCCCTTGAAGTACGGATCTGCTCACCCACCAGTTTGCTCTTTTCTAAAGTGCATCCTATTTAGTTATTCATACTTCACACTAGTACGAAATACTATTATGAATAACTAAGGGAATCATCCCTGATTGCTCCCTCTCTCTCGCCTCTTGACAGATCTGCATCTGTCAGTTCTCTGAAGAGTATATTAAATGTATTCATTTATTTCCTCCCTCAATGCCACTCACTACCTTGGTTTCAAAAGCTTCTTAGCTTCTACCTATACTAAATTTAATAAAAACAATACAATCTGCCAAGTTCAGTAGAAAATTAAGTAACAGCACAGTATTCAGGAAACATGTAATTAATGTTTAATGCATCAAATATTAAAAATTCCCTTATATATGAAAAATACTAAGGTAAATATTTATAGTTACTAATGTTAATCATTAATTACCATCACACCCTATTTACTCTCTATTAAATTAGGACTGCTCTTTATTTACATATTGCCTATAGAGAGTCTAGCTGGGCCTCTAAAATCCAGGTACTGATATCATTTAAAATAGTTCCAATCTTTTGGTATAAAACAGGAGTTTCCAGATTTTTCTTTGTTCATACATCAATAAAATTAGTTTAAAATTGAGGAATGATAGCAGGGAAAAAAAGTCAATTTTTCCTTGACACATAAGGAAAAATTATAATAAAGCCTACAATAAAATATTAAATTAACATCACTTCATTTAAAAAGGACATTTTAACAGCAGTAAAGTGGAAAGGAGACAGTTTCAGAATAAAGAAGAGTTACTTTCAAGAAAAGACAGAAGGCAACAATACCAACACCAATACACACACACACACACACACACACTCACACACACACCTCCCACAGAGCATTGTCTTTATTTCGCTACATGCCAGTTAAAACTCACTACAGGCTGGCACCAAGCTCATAGATCATATTTGGACATCTCTGTCAAGGCAGATTAAAAATTTAAATTCCCATTTGTAATTCTTAAACCTAAAGAAAATTTTTTAGCACTTGAACTCATGCAAACATTACGGGAAGTATAATAAGTATAAAATTTGATGCTGTATGATGTTTCACCAATGAAGTAGCTTTGAATACCAGCTTTATGTAAATTGAGAGCATTAAACTAGAAAACCAAGCCATCTGCTATGTCATTAATCAGCTCAGTAATCCAGGGAAAATCTTTTAGTCTTTCTGAACCTGATATTAAGTTCATTAAAATGTGAAGCCAGACATTTTTGGCTTATTGGAAACACTTTCTAGAAAAAAAAATACTTTAAAATACTTATGTATGAAATCCAGAAGTGATTTCCCTTCTCAATTTTAACATTACATATCCATCTGAGGCAATAGTAGCTATGCTGTGAGGAACTTGTTACCTCTGGTGTCATTTTCTATTTCTGTCCTCCAGCGATGTAAACAGCCTTCTAGCACAGAAAGTTCTTCCTCTGTTATGTGTCTTGGTGCTGGATGCATGGGCAAATCTGGAGGTACCCGAGACTGAGTAAACGGTTTATATATTATTGATCGTGAGGAAACGGCAGCTATTGATGCAGGTGATGTGCTTGGCAGTTCTGAAGAGGGAGCTCCCTGTTGTTCTGTTGTGCTGTATTTTTAAAGCATAGAATATTATTAAACTTTCCAAATTGGAGCTCTGAACAAAGACTGTGCCAAACACATAGCACTAAATTGGCTTATAATTTCAAAAAAGGTATTAAAAAAAAAAGAAATAAAATGCAGGTTAAATGTGGGTTAATGAGATTCTTAATATATGAGGACTACATTACTGTAAGGATGAAACTATGGCTTAATCATAGTTACTTAAAATGAATATTATGTATGTTGAAATTACAAAACCTTCCCTTTTAATACTTACCAGCTCACCTTACAGAAAAAAAAATCTAATTTGACAGTATTATTTTCATGGAGAAGTTGAAATATACACCAAAACAACCTAAGTTATAATTCTGAACAGAAAAAAATACAGTGAAAATTTGAATCCACAACCATAAAATCAAACAGTGAAATAAAAAAACATTCAAAAGACAAACTGTTCTTCTAAGTGAACTTTGTCTTTTCAGAGTCCACTAAAATCACAACATGCATTTTATAAAACCTTCTTTAAAGGCATCAATTACATTTTTATGTTATATAGCTACATAGCTGTCTCTTTTATCAAGAAAATGTTTTACCTTGGTAATGTCTGTGATGGTATGGAACCACTAGGTGGGGAACTAGCATCAATATCATCAACAGGAGAAGTGCAAACTGGTTTACTTGAGGCAAATTCCAATGCATACTGTAGAACATCTACCAATGGGAATCGTTTGGGACCCGAACCATAGCTTAAATATCTGTTAACCATAAAATGTATGAATGCTTTTATTTGTACATAAAGTACTTTGTGTTTTTTTTAAATTGTTATAAAACATGATAAAAACATTCAATAAATCTTCAACAATTAATTTTGCTTTCAAATGAAGACAGTAAAACTGAATATACATTTGAGTTAAATTTAATGTTTTCCAAAGGAGGGAAACCAAAGCTGATTAAAACTGAAAGTGTGTATGTATTGTTATAAATTTTAAATGTTGCTCGAAGTTGTAACCCAATAGGAAAATGAACTGACAATTCCATCTCTGAGACTGTTTTTATTTTTAGATCTGTCATCTGGTCTCATGATCAAGACAGTTACTAATATTATCCTCCCACCTTTTACCTCTGCTTATTTTTCAATATGACTACTGATAACTTTTAAGAATAAAAATTATTGATATATAATGCATTATTTTTATATAAAAAATTTTAGGTTATTTATTTACAAGTTAATACTTGTACCACAAAATACAGATTAGATCAGAAGTTGCAAACACGCTATTATTTCAGCCTGTAAACTTTTGGCTGGAATACAGCACAATTGAGAATCTAGATTCTGGCATCTTTGGAAATAATATCAAGGTCTAGAAAATAGTGAGATAATGTTCATGCATGGCACCACCCCTAGTGTGGATGGCAGCCACTCCCTCTCTATAGGGATGCACTCTCTAAGCTCCTTTTGCCTACCAGTTTATTCCTGACTTCTCTCTTTCTTTATAAATCCTCCATGAGACCCTGGTAGGCATTTCAGTTCCTATCTTCTTTGTTAAGGAGAAAATCTCAGTTACTGTTGTTTTAATGGAAATCTCCAAAGAGTGATGGTGTCATGCAAGAAGAAATCTCAATAATAGAATAGTTTAACTTTATATATATTTTTAGCACCACAAAGCATTACCTGTTGACAGTAAAAATATTTAATCTTAAACACAAAAATAATTTTCTGATGTCAACTAAGAATTATTTTAGTTTCTAACAAAATTCAAAACTACTCAAGTAGAATATCAACCCAGAGTACCACTAGAATTATAAATACAGCAAATTTAAAATTAAAGACTCCAGATAGTCACTAGAAATGACTTCCTGTAGTTAGCTCATAATTTCCTAGAAGTTACAATACCTTTCTAATCTTTGCTGTAATACTGTGAGGTAATCTTTTAGTCTCTTGATCTCTTCCCTCTTAATTCTTGTTATTTCTCTATTTCTGTGCATGTATCTATTAGGAGAAAGAAAAATAGCAATCATTAGTATTTCTAAATATCATGGAAGCAGATACAGTATTAAGTATAACCAACACCACAGACCAATTCATTTGAAATTTTATAACAAAATTTCAGACAATAAAAAACAGTTTTTAAAAAAATTCTGAATTATAGTACAAATACAAAAATAATACTTTTTTAAATTTCCTTATAACATATCCAGTGACTATACTTTTCTAAATAGAGAACTTGATTTTCCTTGACAAATGGTATTAGACATATTATGCAAAAAGTAAGGATTAATTCTAAGGGAGTCAAGCAAAATTTTTCTCTAAACAACAATAATAATTCTTCACTTGGCCAATTAACTGTTTCAAAACTAAGTCTCGCTATATACCAAATCATACCTGTCCAGATATAAAATTTGAGGAAATTCTAATTTGTTGTGAATTTTTTCTGGTCTTCCCAATGCCTGATTAAATTCAAATCTTGACAATTCAAATGTTAACACAGGTGGCAGTTTCGTAAACCAATGCTGAAAGAAAATAACAACAAAAAACCTTAAAGCCACCTTTCTGTTTTCTCCATTGCAATTCTAGGCACAGGATATTAGTGTGGGTATTTTTATATACATCATCATAATGCCTATGTCACAAATTATTGACTGGGTACACAATTCAGTTAAAATTCAACTTCTTCCTAAAAGTTTTCCATACCTCTTGAAAATTCCAAGGATGGGAATAACACACAACCAGAAAAGATAAAATTCTTCTAAAAAGTCCTTCTTCTATGATAATTCTTTGCATTAGAATTTCTAACTCAAAGATAAAGACATTGGTTAAAATCATAGCTCAAGTTTTCTGGCTTCTTCAATATTATATTGCTATTACTACCATGAATAATACATATATTTATTACTTTCAACTACACTGACAAAAACATGGGACAAAATAACTTGAAAGATGTAGTATACAAAGGAAAAAAATTACAGCGTAAATGACCATTCTTAAGTTAAAAACTAGACAATGGTGGTATTTGCCTGTTTTAAATTAAGTTTTCCTAGTGAAATTTTGACCAATTTAAGAAAAAGATCTATTACTAACGAATATGGAGTTTATAGTATGGGCAACAATATCTATAATCTTTTTACATGACTAGTGTTTAAAGAGTTAAAGCCTCACTGGTATGAGTCAACTCCTCCACAAACTTTGGCAACTGCTAAGCAAGAAATGAAACAAAACTTCAAAAGAAAATTATTTTCATAAAACAGACTCAAGTTTTACATAAACAGTATTTATTTAAAGAGAAAGAAAAATGAACTTGTGAACCAACAAAAACAAAATTAAAATGTAACAAATATATTTTTAAAGTGCTTATAAGCACTACTATATACTACTATAAAAGGAAATTGCCACAATTATATTGTTTTTGTTATTTTCAATAAACTAAGATTACACTAATTTAAATTCAAATAACTAAAAAAAGCAGGAACAATATTTTGCAAATCAGATTTAACCAAGATCTTGAAAGTTGCTACTTTTCTCTATATACAGGTAATAAAAATGGTCATTCAAAATTATTTCTCCTTCCCAAAATGCTAATGACCTGAATTGTGATTTCCTGAGTTGAATTTGGTTTATCTTTTACCAAAAGTTGACGTCTAAGAAATCTGTTTTATATGGATATTGTCTGGAACTGACTATAGAAAGATATAAATATATAACACAACAAACATTGTTTAAGTTTTAAAATTTCTTGAGCAAAGTTTGCTTATCTATTTTGTTCTCACATGGCATTGGCAAGAATTTGTTAGTTCTAATCTATACCTAAAATTTCTAATAAGAATTAAAACATACCCCTTATATATCACAAAGAAAATTTTGATGCCTCAGGATAATATTCTCTACTTCATTTTACGATACCTAAACAAGTAAGTACATTTCAAGAACTATTATTTTCATATTTTATGCCATATTTTAAATGGCACCATTAAAATTAAATAGTTACATACTTTAACTCATGGGAACCTACAATGGCCAATAGAAATGAAATAACACAAACTGGGCGTATGCTCCTATGTAGGCCTTAAAAAATCGAGGAAATAGCTTCCATACTTTACAAAAGGATGTTCATATTATTTTATGTAATATGTCTCTGCTGTGAATGCATTTCCTCTAACAAAGTGACAGGCTTTTCCTACTACAGGAGTGGAGAGATTTCACTCTCTCATTCTAAAGCTAATGGGGTCAAGAAGAGAGCTAAATATTTATTAAATTCATTTTTAAAAATATTCTGGGTATATCTAGCTCTGCAATTTTAGGATTTTAAGTACAGCAGTACATAACTAGAATTCTTAAACAATATAATATAAAATTTGAGGAAATTCTAAGAGACATGGATCTTTCAAAATATTATTTTTCTACTCAATAGAAAACTGTATTTACTTCTCTAATTGGTATGCCCTGCATATGACATACAGGTCATTAAAGTTAAAACTGATGCTTATATTCTAAACATATTTCATTATCATGATCATTACTATTATTATATTATATAATAAATAAATCATGAATTTTATGTTTTAATTAAATGGTATGCAATTTACAAAGTTAGTTAGATTAATGCAGTTAGTGAACGAAGAACTTATATAGTCAGCATTGGAAACAAAAGTGCTCCTGAATTTATTATGACCACAAATAGGACCTGTTTATAGATTGTAGAGAATGTAGTAATTTGTCTAAGTTACAGTAGCTGAATTTTCCATTAATGTTTTAAATGCCTTGCTTTTGTAAGATTACATGAATGTGTGTATGTGGCGGTGGGGGGAGTGGGAGAGACAGAAAAAACAGACCTACCATTTCAAATTCCTCACAGAACAGCAAACAAAGCCAGGATGTAAACTTAACATAAGAAGCAAAAACTTCCTTCTCCAATTCGAAAATTAGTTTGTCATTTGTCTTCATTCATTTGCCCTTTAACTTTAAAAGATAATTTTCCCACATAATACCCACATATCTAATATAGTATGTATAGGTATTGTTTCTCTAATTTAGCTTTTTAGCTCAAGTTCTATAAAATTTTTATCAGCACTATGATTATAACTTGGTACACCTTTGTGAAGGGAAATCTGGCAGTACTTACTTTTTTAAATAAGCATGCCCTGTGACCCAAAGATTCCATTTCTTTCCTTCATTCCTAAATGCTCAAGGATATTTATAGAAAGACATTTTTTGAAATAATTCTTATTTAACTACTGTATCATAGAAAAATTATATTAATATAATTTTATAAATACAGGCTATGTGATACTGTGCAGGTTTTTAAAAGAATGGCTTAGAGCTCTATATTGGCAAGGAAGGATGCTCACAATATGCTATTAAGTGAAAAATGCAAATTTCAGAACAGTAAGGAAAGACAGATTGAAGTATTTATATGTGCATAGAAATAGTTTAAAAGGATGTACAACACATTATTAGTAGTGAATGCCCACACCAGAAATGAGGTAATTTTTTTCTCTAATAGCAATCAAAATACATTTCCAGGTTTCCTGTAGAGTTTGACTTATCTAAAAATTGCAAACCAGTTAATTAAAACTTGAAATTTATGATTTAGAAAAATATTTTGTAAGTATTTTCTTACATATAATCATGTTCCATTTACTCAGATGTCTCTTGGTATGTCGCTTCAGAAATGTGAACTATTATAGCCCACTGAATGTTTTAACATGAGTGATTCTGGTGACTAGAGGTCTTCCTGTATTAGTTGACCACAGCTATTTCAGTAAAAGAATTGTTTTCTGTATCAAAGTAAGATGAACTATTTTTGGTAAATAACAGTGTAAGAGATAAAAGATGTTATCAAGAATTACGTACTTTAAAAAGAAGTGTAAAATGATACCCATTGGTGTTTATGGAGACTCAAGATCTTAGAAATAAAAGTTATTATAAAGGATATGATGAAATAAGACTACAATTTAAGCATGGTATTAAAAACTTTTAAGATAGTCTACCCTAGGTTAGTCATAGTTTCTTAAACCAGGTTGAATTATTATTGAAACAATTGTGTCCAACAAATATAGGCAAGTGGTAATAGGAATCACAGGTAACCAAATGTGCTATTATTGAAACTGCTATTAGAAATCACTGAATTCAGAGAAGATGACAAATCACTGCATTCCCTAGGTGGCAAACATATACTGTAGTACAGGACACTCAGAGTATGAAGCCAAAGATGGAGGACAAACTAGACTGTTTAAAAAATAAACAATGAAATTCAGGTTCACTATAAGAAAAACATTTTTAAAAGCAAAAAATATGTGAGAAAGTTTATTTGCCAATTAACTATTAAATATTTACCTATAAATCATAGTATTTCCCTTATAAGCTACTTAGACAATATAATGAAGATACCATCCCTTTTTCCCTGCCTGAACCCATCATCCTTTTATTTAATAGAAAACAGAGCACACTTTAAAGAGGATCTGCTTTTCTGTTCCATTATGGAATCCTGGGAAAGTCTCAATTTTTAAAGACCTGCTTCCCAATCAATAAAATAAATAAGCTTAATTTAAATATTCCTAAATAGAGGTCTATATCAGAATTACTTGTGGAGTTCTTATGCCCATGTACCGCATCCCTATCCTAGATTCTGATTTGACAGCTTTTAACGGGACCTATTCATCTGTTGAGAATCACTGAAGTAGATGATCTATGATATGGCGAGAAAAAGTATTTCAAATATTTTCTCTATCTGTCTCTTTCCCTCCATCTCTCACTCTCTCTGGTATTAAAAAAAAAAGTTAATGTTATTTAATGAGAGAGAAGAGAAAGAAATGAGGAAAGTTAGAACAAGAAAAGGGTTAATTTAAATACATATTTTTTAAAAAGCACACAATTCAGATAAAAGCAATTTATTCTCAAAGAACCCAGTCCCTAAAAGAAACACAAATATATCATATTTATTATTTACTAAGCCCCTATTCAGGGATAAAGGCTTCACAAACTTTTTTGTTAGCACTGAGATATTTCATTCAGTCAGTCAATAAATATGTAATTCAATTGCAGTCACTGTGCCACCTGCCAGGGATACAGCAATGCAGGGCACAAAGCAAGAACGCTACCCTCATGCATGGACTTATAAGTAGACAACTATCAGCAACTGCTTAGTGATGACTGATTTTGGAACACATATCTGTCCTTTGCTTTCTAGCACATTAACACTCCCCCAAGGATGAATGTACGGACAGTGGATAGACATACAGATGGAGATGGAAAGACAGAGATGGGTGGCAAGACAGTGACCTGTGGACACAGAGAATAAGTTTATATTTTTATAATTATTTCTTTCTTGAGAAAGCAATTTCTTTCATCTGCCCTTCATGCAAGTACACAGCAATTTTATAATAAAAGGAGTCTGGTGTTGCCTATTTAGATCTGGACAAATTCCAATAATATTTGATATAAGTAAGTACATCAATGTAAAATTCCACCCTAATATCAGTGTATTTCTTCAACTTCCACAACTAACATGCTGTAATGACTGGTACCTTGACTGAAAAGTCTAAGAAGATGCAACATTGTTCTAAAAGATTTTATCAGAAAATTTTAAGAAAAATTGTTTAAGTGACTATTTAACATACATTATAGGCTCTATTGACTATAAAGGTACTACAAATATGTCTAAGTTACCATAATTAAATGCAAACATATATTCTGAGTATACTGTCAACTATTAGGTAGCTATGTAATTAGAACCTTAAATTATGCTCTCAGCACTGTAAGAAAGACCTGCGAAGGGGAGGGAAATAATGAAGATGCTAAACTCACCTCTTGGCCTGATTTTCCCGAATTCTCTGAGTGTAAAGACTCGATTTCTCCTTCAATCATAGCAGCTTCCAGGCACTCATGTAGATCTTTGAATCCATTGACTTGAAGTGGGTACTGACCAAACATCTCAGTATTTTCAAACTTTTTACCTACAAGGTAATGGGGAAAAATTAATTCAATGAATGTTTCTCAATATCACCTATTATCTACTAAATGTGAGTGTATATATCAATTATCTCTTGAACCTGAACTGTAATTCTGACTGATTATGTTGAAGAGAGCAGTGAGTCAGTGTAACTTTCTTATTGCTCTATACATGTACATTTGTACATTCACACCCAGCCATAGGTATTAATTATACACCCATATGTGTGTATTTTGGTATGTATGTAATTATATACACACATATGTATATATATATATATTTATTCTCTCAAAAAGTCCCTTCTAAGGCAAGATACTGTACTAAACACTAAGAATATGTAGAGCAGTGAAGAAGAGAGATATAGTCCCTGAGCTAAGGAAACTCACAACCTCTTTTGGAAGAAAGACATTATCCACAGTAACTGCTCCTGTAATGATGAACAAATACTTGTTTATTATTATTGTTTGTTATTAAAGGTGTGTTGAGACAGTGCCATGAGAGAGTACATAAAAAGGAGAGCTAACCTAGTCTTTAGGGCTAGAGGACAGAGCAGGGAAGACTTCTACAGCAAAATGACATCTATGCTGTGATTTGAATGATGAATGGAGTTAGCCAGGGCAGACTGCCAGGGAGCTGTGGAGAATTCTTGGCCAAGGAACTGCACATGCAAAGACTTCAAGAATGCAAAGAACTTGGCATGTTTGAAGAACTAAGGGGAGGAGAGTATAGCTTGGGAGAACAATGGGGTGATGACAAGGAAGAGTTAGGTAAGGGATCAAAATCTACAAAGTCTAATAGCCCTTGTTAAGAATTGTTTTTCCAATATATTCTGAGTATAATAGAAAGTCACTGAATAGTTAAATTTAGGAACAGTATGGTTGTATTTATGTCTTTGAAACATCCTCATAGCTTCATGTTAAGAGGGAGATAAGACTGTTAGGAAACTATTACAGAATCCATCTAGAAATAAATTAGCATGGACTAGGGTGTTAGTAGTAAAATGTACAAAAACAGATGAAATTACATACATACCACATTTATACACATATACAAGAGGGAGCACCAATAGTACTTGATTGACTGGGTGCTAGCAGGATGGGAGGATAGAAGAGTAAGGAAGGTATCAAGAATGATACTCAGATTTCTAGCATGAACGATTCCTTGATGTTCATGTATTGAAAGGGGAACCACTTAAGGAAGAGCAGAGGATATCTTTTTCCTTTTGTTTTACAGTAGTAGTGGCAATCATTGTTTTAGAATGGCACAGGGGACTTCAGATTGAGAAAAGAGTTGGATATATGAGTGTGTAACTAAGATGAATCTTCTGGTCTGAAGCTGCAAGTTGGAGCACTGCTGGATTTTTGACAGCAGAAAATTAAAGTTGTGAATGAGACTGCCCAGGAAATTAGCAGGCAGGAAAGGGAAAGGGCCTAAGCTGAGTCCCAAGGATTCCTCCTTTAGATATGAGAAAAACTCTAAATACAACTCCTACGAAGCACCCACAGAGGTGTGAAAAAAGCCCAGATAATATGGTATCATAAAAGCTAGAAGTGTTTTTAAGGAAAACAAGAAAAAGGAGAGACTATAGTCAATATATTAATAGATGACTGGAGTTCAGTCTGAGAACTGACAGGAATGGCGAGAGACCTGAACACATGTAGGAAATCAATAACCTTAAAAAGATGTATTTTAGAAGAGGTCTTGGGCAAGACGGATGGGAGATGGGTTGAATAAATGGCAAATTACAGGCAAAAACAAACTCCTCTCTTTAAAGGGGAGAATAAACGCTGAGTTAAGATTAACTGAAAAAGAGTGTAAAAAGAGAAGTTTTGTTTTGTTTAATGTGAGGTATCACACCACGTCTAAACAGTGATATGGAAGACAAAGTAGAGAGGGAGAAGCTAAAGATAGAGAAAAAAAGCAAGATAATGGGGTAGACCAAAGTCTGAGTTTAGCATAAAGGGATGAGATTTTGAGCACATATAAAGAACAGCCTTTGACTTAAGACTGAATAACTCCTCTATTTTCTGGAGGGACAAATAAAAAGAATGTAGTGGAAGTAGGAATTGGACCAAGTTGTGGAGCCTTAAGCTCATATATTTGAGAAAGTTGTTCTAAGAACTGTAATACAAAATTATATTTAGGGCCTTAGAAAGGACCCGTGGTTAGGTTTCATTAGTTTCACGGTAAATACATGAAATTTGAGGCAAAGTCTTTCTCAGAGAACAAAGAGACCAAGAACTTGGACTAGAAGTGGAAAAGAAGGAAACTGATATACCAGAAAATGGGACAGAAGAAAAGTGATTAAATAAAACAAGAATGCCTTCGAGGTAGGGTTATAGGATTGGGACCAGCTTAGTATCTTCTACAAATTCATGATTCATTATAGTTAGTCCACTTGCGTGATTTTTCCCCAGCAATGTTCAGGTCTATAGTACATGCAGAGAGATGATCAGCTTAATGAAGGTCAGAGAATAGCCAGAGGTGTTACCAAAAAGGAATGAGGGAAAGGGAGTTTTAGATATTTTAAGAATGATCATAATGGACAGGGAAGGAAGTGAAGAAAAGAAAAGGACTGAGAGCAACACAATGGAGGGGTCAAATGACTAGAAGTTCTGAAAAAGTTGAGGACCTTTTGCAATGGGGGAACTTTAGTAAACACACTAAAAATCACCCCTAATTGAGAGTCACTGGTCTAAAAAGAAGCACTAGGAAGATATATTTAAAAGTAATAAGAAAGTGCTCTAAGATTATTTTTGCCAACTCAAACACAGTTCACATGGAAATGTACTACCACCACATTAATCCAGCAAATAGCTCTGAAACAACTTAATAATTCCAAGTGCAAAGAATTCAACAAAGATTGACATATTAAGTATTTTAACAACACTTTTAAGAGTCAAGATGCATAATACATGTAGAAATGCTTATGAAGGGTGTTAATAAATAGGCTAAGTCACAACCGGATTAGAGCTACTATACAGTGTTTTACTTCAAATGAAATCAGTATGAAAGTACGAGCAACCCAAACTGAAAAGTAATGTATTCTGTAAAATATTCTACTACTTATATAATGAATTTTAACTTCTGAGGCAAACAAAAAGACACCAACACCTCAATATAAACTTTTAAATGCCTGACTAAATCCTGAGTTAGTGTCTGCCTTTCTCTGAATTCCAAACTATAAAACTATACTCAAACAAAATTTCATGGAAATTCATTACTTAAGATCCTGAAGGAAAACCAGTTTTCCAAATTTCATACTTGGGGCAATTTGGGTGAACTTTCAAAAGATGATGGATTGGGCCATTTGGGGAAAACAATTTTTTATAAATACATGCTTTGGGACTTAGTAATATTATTCTTTAAAGTATATCTAATGAGTTAGTTCCCTTCCCTTGTTAGGAAAACCAAAGAGTAACTGGTTAGACCTAGATGTTATGTAATAGGCATTTAGGGTAGATGGAGTACCATTACACTTAACTTTTCCAAAAGATAAGAGTACAACTCTTTCTTGAAAGTTAGTCTAAAGAAGTTTGTAATCAACCCCAAAATGCAATATTCTGACTATGCTAAATTGCTACCTGCAGCTTCAACATTCATAGACTTATACTCTTAAAAACAGTGACCATGATAACACGCCCAGTATTCAACTCCAATATTATTTTCAAAATATCTCACCAACTGCCTCCTTAATTCCTCTATCCCAGCAATTCACAGCATCACAGAAACCTTCCCAAGGAAAGCACATGTGGACAACATTAAGTAAGCATCAATTAGCATGTGACAATGTACCTTATACCTTCCTTTTTATTCACTCAATTATGTGCTTTCTATATAAACATTTAGTAGCAATACAACAGGAACTACTATACAGAGTAGGTCAAATTAAAATAAAAAACCAGTGAACAATAGAGTCACTATCAAAACAAAGGACCTAATAGATAGTATCTCTTCAACTATAATGAAAAGTAAACAAATGCAACCATACCTTCAAGTACTCCCACAGCTAGGAACCTGCCATAGAACAACTCTACCATGGGGTTCTTTGGCTTCTCTTCATCCCTAAAGCATATTTAAAAATATAAATATAATTAAAAATTTTGGATCTGTAAATAATAGAGGAAACATTCAAAGAACAATAATATATGCTAAGACAACATTTATGTGGTTATCATAATCTCAGCTCTGCTCTTTAGTGTCTGTCACCTTGGGCAAGGTACTTAAATTTATTTTTCCCTTTCTTCACCTGTCAACTGAGGATAATAATGGTAATTGAACTCATGGGGCTGTTCTGAGGGTTAAAATGAGTTATTACACAAGATGCCCTTGCAAAAGGATCTACCACAATCTGTACTAATTAAGTGCTTGGTCTTCCTATTGTCACTATATATTTTGATCTTGGACTTTTATTCAGTATAAAACATGCTTATCTGGACTTCTTGGGAAAGGAGAAGAGCTACTTTTAATCAGAAAAATTTCTATACAACTTTAATGTTATTTCCCAAATTTACATGGAAGAGTACACACCATCTAAAAATAATAGTGGTCACCAGTGAAGGAGCAAAACACCAGCTTTGACTCAGAGTAGCTTTCACCTTTTGTGAAGTTTCACATTGCTGGTAAATTAGTCATTTGTGAATTTTTCAAATTATTTACTACGAAATTTTTTTCTTTTTTGCTTGAAGCAAAGAGAAGTTGGCAGTATTTTAAGCTTTTTATGTTTTGTATTCTGCAGTCTGAACACAAAATTTATCTTGACCTTACTATATATATATATATATGTGTGTGTTTTATCCACTATGGTGTACAGAATTTTTGTTCACAAATTTTGTTTAAACTGGTGGAATTTATATATCTAAAAAAAAGGGAGAGATACTACCTGCCTCTTGATAAATGTGTAACATGCATCATCATTTAATCTTAAAACAACTGATGGCAAGTTACTCCACTTAATCCTTGTAACAATCCTGTAAGGTAGCATGGCGGTCCTTAGTGCTATTCAAAAAGATTTCTGGAATTCTACATTCAGATACACGATAAGATACACTTTCCCACTTAATTTTTATCTGAATTAAAAAAATTAACTGTGATAAAATACACATAACATAAAATTTTCCATCTCAATCATTTGTAAGTGTATAGTTTGTTAGGGTTAAATATGTTCACACTGTTAGGAAATCAACCTCCAGAACTCTTTTCATCTTGCAAAACTTAAACTATATCCATTAAACAACTCCACATTTCTCCCTCCCCACAGGCTGTACCAACAACCATTCTAATTTTCTGTTTCTATGAGCTTCACAACACTTGATACTTCATGTAAGTGACACACAATGTTTATTTTTGTGTGACTGGCTTATTTCACTTAGCATTATGTCTCTAAGGCTCATCCATGATGTGGCATATGTTAGAATTTCCTTCCTTTTTAAGGATATTCCATTCATACAATGGATATTATACCACATTTTATCTGTTCATCCACAAACATTTGGGTTGCTTCCACCTTTTGACTATTGTAAAGAATGTTCCTATGAACATAACCTCTTAGACACCCTGCTATCAGTTCTTGCACATATACCCAGCAGTGAAGTTGCTGGATCATATGGTTAATTTTTTTCAGCTTTGTGAGGTATAACTGACAAATAAAACCAAAGAAAGTTAAGTGCAAGGTGATGATTTGGCATATGTATACACTGTGAAGGGATTCATTTTATTGAATGGTAATTCTTTTGAGGAACCACCATGATATTTTCCACAGCAGCTGCACAATTTTACATTCCCATTAACAGTGCACAAAGGTTCTGATTTCTCCCCATCCTAGCCAATATTTGTTATTTTCTGCTTTTGTTTGTTTTACAGTAGCCATTGTAATGGTTGTGTGGTGTTCCCACTCACTTTGAAGTAAGGCAGACCACCAGACTTGCTTTGCCCAACAAGATGTGAGCAGAGGTGGTATACATCACTTCTGAGAAACAACTTTGAGAGCCAGCACACTTCTCACTAGCATGGTGATCCCATAAGCCTGTGATGAATGAAGCATCTGCTACCCTCCGGCCCTAAGTAAAAAAATGAGAGCCCCTTGCTCACACTAATTGGGCACATCTAAGGGTAGGATTCAAGTCTCAAAAGCTTTGAGGTTGTTGCCACATGACTACCTCACCCACTTAGACTGACAACAGGTAGTACAGCCTCTATTTTACTGATAATAAAGCTGCAGAGCAGGTTAAATCATTTGTGCAAATTCACACAACTAGTTAAGTGCTCCAGCTGCAAAAATAAACTCAAATCTAACTCGGAAACTTATGTTCCTCCCACTACATAACCTCTGGGCATTTATTTCACACCTTATATTTTACACTGTGAAAATATAAAGGACTTGAGACTGATACGGGGGAGAGGAATGATCCAAAGATTGTCTCTCTCAATGCAAAAGATACGAATCTTTAGATTTTATGCGGAAATCTCCTTTCTGTGGCCTCTTATTTCCATGTAGAAAAGCAACATTCCTGGCTTCTCTCCTTATTGTCACATACATACCACGTGAAAGAACAGTGAATTACAAGGGTATTAACTTTGGAAGAAGGAACCAGGTGTGAGTGGTCAGTTAATTTTGAACTATCATTCCAAGTCTCTTTCAAATCTTCCTGGATTCTGTCCTGCTCTCCATTGACCACGGTAAGCACAGACCTTTCCTAAGGAGTCAGGAATCACCTAGAAATTGTCTACGTTTTCCTTCTTTGCAACCCCTCAGAGGTCCTATTCTTTAACATGACTTTAAGCTATGAGTCTCAAGGACCTGGACAGTAGTTATACCAAGAGAAACACGAGGAAAACAAATGAAGAACAATTAAAAAGACATGAGACTCTTATAACAGAAATAGTATACCCACCATTTGCATAGAAGGCAAAGAAAAGATAAATTGACACAACTACCAAATGCCCAAACAAATCACTACAGAAAACTTGTATTGGGGATACACTATCTTTGGGAATTAGGTTGGCATAGAAAGAGTTTAAAGGTCTAGGTTAGCTGACAGAGTAAGCTAGAATGCTTTGGGTCAGTGCTTCCCAATCTTTTTAATGCCATTGGCATACAGGTAATACATGCAGAGAACTTTGGGATAAAAAGACATGTTTTCTCAGAATCATGAAAAGAAGATCAGTACCTCCACATAACCATAATTGAGCTTGCCATGGCACACCAACTGGAAAGCTCTGTTCTAGATAGAAATAATTAGTTTTAGCCCCAAAGACAAAGAACAAACAGAAAATTACTGAGAAATGAATGAGCAGAAGGACAGTCTTCAAATAAGACTTAAGATTTCAGATGAGGTGGAGTTCTAGCTTCTTTTAAGTTTTAGAAAAGGGGAGATAATGTGTTTGCTACTAGATCAGAAAAGGTGATATACCCAAAGAAAATTAACAAGTAAACAATAATAAGGAAGAGCTCCAAAATCAGAATACAATGACCCCTTCAGAAAGAACAAGGATTCAGGATACAGTCGAATGGCATTCTTCTAAGGTACTGACAGAAAGCAAGTGGGGAGTCATGTGCTGAAGACAAAATACTACTATATTGAGTGCTTACAGAAATTCTGGATAGTTCTGAGAGGAGGAACCAGGTATTTCAGGGTAAAACATTCAAATTACTAAGAGAACTTCAAAGAGACTAAGTTATCCTATTTGGGGATAATGATACTGTTCACAATCTGAGGGAACATGTGTGATAAATTTTGCTACTAGAACTCTAAAGGTACAAGGAACATGAGCTCTATTAAAGAGGAACTGGGGTGGAAAACACTAATTAATGAACCAAGGTTCACTAACTCTCATGATGAGGTACTTATCAAGACAATATCAGAGGAATAAGATAGAAAAAAGAACAAATGTATAGCCCAGAAAACAAAGTCAAGAACAGGAAGAGAAGATGTCCAAACAGACCTGGTCCTGAATGAGAGAGAGGCTACGCAGCAGGTTAAACTGTTAAAAATTCAGACAAGCCTTCTTATAAGAATGAAAAAATACATATGTTAACTGAATACTAGAGGCTTATCCCACCCAGAAAATGATGTAGCAGGAAGAAATATACTCAAGGCCTGGAATATTCCAAAGCTGAGGAAAGAACTTATCATAGAAATAATGATCTTCACTGTACGCTGAGACTCAGGTTTCAGAAACACCAATAGCTCAGGAATTTAATGGGGAGATTTTCCAGATGAACCTAACATGAAGAGAAGAAATTAACTTCAGAGGCATGTTTCACAGGCCTAAGCAAGTCCATATCAAAATGGCAGTAACCACTGTGACACAAAGTTACTGTCATTAGAAAGAGCTTGCACTCAATGCAGCCCTAGGGGACAGCAACTTGAAGCTCATAAGGAAAACGCAACTAGAAAGTTTGAGTAGAGGAGAGGAAAGGGCACGTGCTGACTGAGCTGTCAGCATCAGAAATTTCTAGACTTCCAAAGAAGGAAGTAGCTTTCAGATGCCTCATTTCAAGATACAGTTTGCCAAAAATTGAATTTTTTCCCCTCAGATGGTGTAGATTTAGTGGTATAATTAATCTCTTGCAAGATTTCTCACAACTTAGCTTTAGTTCATAGGTAGTTATCTGCAACCAATTGGCCCTTAATGATAGGCATCTTGGAAGAACTAAAACCAGATGACTTTGTCAGTTTGTGACATATCCTGAATTCCCATTACAATCTTTGGCAACAACATGAGTATGGACTGCACTAAATTTTGGGAATACTACAGTTGGATTAACAGCTAAAGGATTGAAGGTTTACTTTTATCTCAAAATTTCAAGCATAAGAGACCAACACTAATTATGTGTTGTAGTAATCCTCAGAAATCTAAAATTAAGGCGTATGAAATTCAACATTTGAAGGACTGAAGGAACAACACATACAAGTTAGACAGAGCAGGCTGCAGCTGTAGAACCCCAACTCTATTCAGGCACAGAAATGACATGTTTGTTGCTGGGACTGAACAAACCAGGAAACTCATAAATTGGGACTTAACAAACCTGGAAACTCATAAGTGAATTACTTTTTTTGTAAGGTTACAACCACAGGGTTAAAACAATCTTATTTTTAAGAGTAATTTATTTGGGCTTTACCTTAGAAGATCAAGGGGATATAAAATTTGATAACTTATTTTTGCCCTCAAAATTTGAGAATGAAAGTGGGGTCTAAATTAAAGTTTAGGGGAATCTCTTACTTGTTAACATTGTATAATTAGAATACTTTTTACTTTGATTTACTCTCACTGCAGACCATGTTATAATGATTTTTACTGGACAATAACACTGGCAATAATTTAAAAATAGAAAAAAAGAGTAGGGAGAGAATTTCAGCCTTGGACTTCTGCCTGCATTCTAAGTGTCAATTTAAGTACTGATTCTTACAGAATCACATCAGAGACTACAGTGGCAAATCCTAAATGGCCAAGAAGATACACAAAGGAACCACTGGTTGGTATTAGGAGGGTGGCACCATGAGAGGAGTAGAAAAGTGTGTCGATTTCTTTCTCTAAGGAGGTTTATCACATATTATAAATAACCAAAGCCTTAATGGTTCAGCCTAATGGGTAAAAATAAAAAGCTAGGGAATGTTAAGGAAGAACTTCATAACTCTGTCCTCCTTATCAGGTAAAAGGATATCATCAGAATTAACACTCATTGCATCTATCCCCCCACTACCCCAGTGTTCCTCGTGCAAAGTGACTGTTGAATATATGGAAAAGAACTGGGCATGTGTGGCCCTTTCAAGGATCACTTTTTGGATCTTTCTGGCTACATTCTGATCTTATATTTACAGTGGAAATCTAAAACTGCCCAGCATTAGTGGCCACAAATTCTAAACAGCTTGTCAATAAAACAGATAATACTTGGGTTCCCAGATATCTATCTCAGATTCCTATTTCTCTGTTGCCACAGATATAGAAGAGGGAAAAAATGAGATTAGCAATCTCCTAAAACCCCATTGCTAAATTTCATGGCAACTTACGTCTCCTCTTCAGCTTTCATTTGGAAGGCATCTTCTAACCAATCTAATAATTTGTGTGTAAACTCACTCACATCTTGCTGTGGAAAGAAAAAAAGTCTTGTTGATATTTAAGCCTACTAATAGAAATACTAAATACTGTAACATAAAACTTATAGCCAGTCATTTCAAACATAAAATTACTGACTTCTCACAAAGGAATCATATGAAATGTTTCACATAAAATGCAAGAAAAATTTATAACTTAACCAAAGCATGAAATTAGTACTGATGAAAAATAAGCATTATATTGATAATCTCTGTGATTCGGTTTCACTTTAGGGGAAAAAGATATACAGTTTAAAAATAAATTCAAACTTACAAATGAGATTTTTAAAAAAATTATCACCCCAAAAAAAGAGCTCTGTAATAAATCTTTAGAAAATGAAGGACCCACACTACTCAAGAGTTCTTCATTATGTAAAGAATTATTACTGGCTTCCCTCTTAGAAGGAAGATACGATTATCAACAACTGGTTTTTGTTAACTTTTACACACTTTTCAAGCCATATCCACTTTTACTAAGAGAACCATTGGACAGGTTGAGTCCAATCAATCACTGACTTCCCAACTATGGAGTCTACCATTTCATGAACTTTAAACTATTTTCCCATTCAGAACCAGCACATACATCACCTTTTGCCATCAGTCCTTCAGTCCTAGCTCCCTTAACATAGAAAAAACAGGAATAGGCACTGGAAGTTGTACTCATCAACTATCACAATTGTTTCAGTAATGTCAGCTGGAACATAACAAATAGGTTCATAGAAAACCTAGGGGGAAAAAATAATCAATCCTACAAAGACTGCCCATGAAAAACTGATGAATCAGTGTAAACAATTTTTCTTTCTTTATCAAAATAGCCCCAAATATAAGACAAACTTAATATCATGTATTTTCCAGCTAGAATTTTTTTTTAAGAACATTTGGGCCAATGTGTTCACCTTTAAAATGATGAAACTAAGGTGCAGATGCTTACATCAATTGTTCCGAATCCATATAAAGACAACTGAACTTGGCACAAAAATCCAGTTATAAAAATCCATACCATCTGTAGTGGGTTAAATAGTGATCCACCAACATATATGTTTACCTAGAACCTCAGAATGTGACCTTATTTGGAATAAGGGTCTTTGCAGATAGAATTAAGATAAGGATCTCAAGATTAGGTAATCCTGGATTAGGGTGGGTCCTAAATCCAATGATGGGCATTCTAATAAGAAATTTAAAGGAGCAGACACACAGACACATAGGGAAAAAAGCCATGTGAAGATGGACACAGAGACTGGCTAAGGATTACCACAAGTCACCAGAAGATGGTGAAGACAAGAAAAGATTATCTCTTAGAGCCTTGGGAAGGAGGATGACCCTGACAATACCTTTATTTTAGACCTGTGCACTCTAGAACTGTCAAAGAATTATTTTCTGTTGCTTTGAAGTCACTCAGTTTACTGTAATGTGTTGCAGCTGCCCTAAGCAAACTAATGTAACACCTTAAAACCACTTTCCATAACCTTAAAATTTTATCACTTTACTTATCTTGCAAGATTGTATCTGACAAGAAACAAAATGTTTCTTGGTTATTATAATACTCGTCAGAAAAAATTAAGTCTTGTTTAATAATCTAAAATTGACAATTAAAAATAGTTCTGCCTGTTTTCATCAAGAGAAAAAAGATGCAGACTTCACATTTTAGTATTAGACTGAAATAATTATAGATAAAACTGACAGTACTATCTATGAAAGGGTATCCCACAATGTTAGTCAAAATGGTGCTCAACCACCACACTCGTCGACCTATGACAGCGACTGTTAAGTTTTGTTTTCCCAAAATTAAGTTCAGCTTCCCACTCATGACAACTGAACACTCTGTGACGCAGACCAATAAAGTCCCGCCAGCTAACCCCAATGAATCCATAGCCAATTAGCTGGTGCCAAGTGCCTTAATAGGGTAGGCATATAAGCCAAAGCTCCCCAGCCAGCAAGACTGCTCTCTCACGCACACACGCGTGGGCAGCCACCTCACCACCGCTAAATAAATCTCTTGGTTGGATATCCGCTTCTTGGTGTGGTTGTCTCTTCCTTTAAGGAATTTAGCAGTCTTTTATTGATGCCGTGACTCAGCTGGGACTCCCCCACCAGGAGTGGGCCCTCAATCTGTTAGAGGACGAGACCACTTGAGAACTCCCGAGACAGCGGCCAGCCTGCACCCATTCTCTCGATCGCCTTCCTTGCATCCACCATCAGCTTCGAGATCGGTGAGTTCCCCAATTCTGAATCCCTCAACCTCAAGGGTTGCAAAATGGGAAACTGACCATTGATCGTCTGGCACTTCCTGGGACCACCCACGAGGGAGGAAGACACCCCACTCAGACTTTTGTGGTCACGTTGGTCCTTGAGGGATTCTCATCAGTACTGGGTCTCGACCTGCGGTAAGACCAGACCCTTTCCTTTCCCTCTCACTCCACCTGGGTCTCACCTTTTCTCCCGCTCTCCAAAAACCCCGGCACTGGGTGACCCAAGGCCCTCCAACCCCTCAGAGTCCCTCGGCTACTGGGACTCAGTGACGACCCACTCCCATAGCCCGAGATCTCACCTGACATTTGACCTGAGTGGGGACGCCCCTCTAGTCAATATATCAATACCCTTATATCCTCATGGGGTGGGAGGGGTGTCTTCTCTGCCAGCCAAATCCCCGCGAAGATGTCTTTTAGACAATTTAAATATTCTCAGCCTGACTCCAGATATCAGGCCCAAAAAACTCATCAAACTTTGTACCCAAGATTGGCCTACTTACCCATTAGATAACCAAAATAAATGGCCCCCTCACGGGTCCCTTGATCCCACCCTCCTGCGAGATCTTTACAACTATTGTGAGCAATCAAGAAAATGGGTAGAGATTCCTTATGTACAGACTTTCTCCCTCCTCTGATCTAATACTTACTTATGCATGAATTGTAACCCAAAACATGTCCTACTAGCACATAGACCCCCCTCAGCCATCCCTTCTTCCCCCAC